GTGGGGGCGGGGGTGGTCTCCTGCCGAGGGTTCTGACCCCAAAAAGATACCGGTCCGCTCACTGGTTGAGTGCGGTGTGGGCGCGACACCAAGGGTTGCGATCCCTTTACCGGTCACGAAAAAAGACAAAAAGGAAAAAAAAAAAAGTTATCAGCTCTACCATTCCTTCTAAGTTAGATCATTTCTGTAGTAAAGACTGTGTAGCTTTTTATATGACAGTACCTCACTTCTCTAGATTACAGCTAATTCCTGGGAAGCAATAAGTGCTTTCAACACAATAATAAAGTATGTGCCGCAAAGTTCTTATTCTTTTACACATTGGAGGGCTCACGAAGCCTTTATTTAGGCACTGTTTGTTTTTAATTTATACATAGTTACAGCAGGCTTGGTCTTTGGTTTCTAAGACCATAGCTAATAAACAACAACTTAGGTATGACAAGAGAGGCCACCGCCACAGGGAGCCCTGAGGGCAGCGATGAGGGAGGTGACCAGAGGACAACTTAAGCCAGTAGAGCCGGCTGGGAGCCCTGTAGCATAGGGTAGCTGCCCTTGACCGTCAGCAGGCTCTGGGGTCATATCAGGGCGAGTTCACTGTGGGACCCCCATGGTCACCCAGGGATGATTATATTTATTTATGACTATCATTATAATGTAGTTTTTAAAAGCATGCACCTGAGAGTGATACTCTGGTGCTTCTTGGGCATGTTGTTTAACCCATTCAAGCCTCACATTCCATGTCTGTAAAATACGGATGTCAAAACTCCCCATCATCTACGATTGTTGTGTGGGTTAAATGGGAGTGCAGATAAACCGTTTAGCACAGTTCCTGACACATGGAAAGTTCTTGGTATGCTTTAGTTCTCAAGACTACTTTGACAGTGATTATTGTGTGGTATATGATGTTTAGAAAGGCAGGGGAGTAAATAATTCCATTTAAGACCTCTCTATTCTGTGCCTGCTGTGTGCAAGGAGATGTGCTGCTTGCCTGCCATTGGCAGCCAAAATGTGTAGAAGTCACTGTCACCACCAATGAGCAGCTTATGGTGTTATAATGGGGACTTGGGCCAATGACTGATTTATATAAGGTAGGATGTGCCATATGAGGGTGCAAAATCACAGCAGGTGCTGGTAGTGATGGAAGAGCCTAGTTCAAGATTTGGCAGAAACGAAGAAGTCCAAGAGGACTTCCTGAAAGAAGTGAGATTTGACCTTTTTTTTTTTTTTTGGCTGGCTGGCTGGTTTGGTGAGAAGTGGCATTTGAGTTGTACCTTGAAGAATCTGTCTGGCAGCCAACATGCTGGGTGCTGACTGTGTGCCTGACACCAAGCACGCTGAACATAATGACTCATTTGATCCTCACAGCAATCTTAGGCCAGTCCTGCTCTTACCTCCTTTTGTAGCTGTGGAAACTGACACATAAAGAAGTGAATTTGCCCAAGTTATACTCCAGAGCACACACAGTTAGTCACTACCCTGTGAAGAAAAGATTCTAAATGGAACAACTGGCACATGCAGAGGCTGGTGGTTGGAGTGACCGGTAGAAATGAGCACCAGCGGGCAGGGGCCGGGGTTGGGGGGCATGGGAGCCAGTGATGGATTTTTAATAGGTTTTTTTTTTTTTTTTTTTTTTTTTAATGAAAAGATATGACCTAAGTAGAGAACAGCGAGCCCCTGTGTACCCGTCACTCAGAATTGAAGTTTTTTTTAACTGAGCAAGTGGTATCATTCAAGTTGCAGTGGGGCTAATACCCGGTTTCAACATGTAAAAGGCAAATCTCTATGTAGAAAACTTTACTTTCCTTGACAGTTCATTTTCCATGATTCCCAGGCAGTTAAGATTTCACTGTAGTTGTATTAAAATTTTTGTTAAACTCACATTTGTGTTTCAGGTTGCTGTTGTCAAAATGAAGAACACTGAACGGATTTATGCAATGAAAATCCTCAACAAGTGGGAGATGCTTAAAAGGGCAGAGGTAAGTATGGAGGACCACAAAATAAGTAATAACATGGGGTTTGTGTGAGAGTGACTGTGAAGCCCAGTCAGGTGAAAACCACAGTCATGTCACAGACCTGGCCCTTTTCTGCCTGACCAGAGCAGGCAGAGCCTCCTGGACTCGGCCCCTCTCCTGGTCAGCATGGCCCATTCACCAGATCCTCTGCCTAAGAGCACACCCTCCCACCTGTCGGCCAGATTTGCTCTCTGTGAAGGCAGGTGAAAACCTTTGTGCAAGCCTTAGGCATTTACCACAGTTCTGCTCCGTGTGCAAAAGGAATTACTGAGTTTGGAGCCAACTTGCATATAGAAATACTGTTTCTGTTCCCTCTTAGATGGAGAATAAAGATTGTAAATAAAAGGAGACTATGGCTGCTTGGCAGTCTTCAGTCTGCTTTTTCTTAGTTCTGTGTCAGTGCCTGTGCTGGCCATTTCTCACCCCTGACCCCATCTCTCCCGCCCCTTGCTCAGCCCCTGGTCTTGCTGTCTTCCCAACTGAGACAGGCAAGGCCTGCAGGTGAGCCTGAGCTTTTCCTCTGTCACCTGCAATTTCTGTCTCCTGTCCTCTGTGTTCTTCCATCTCGCCTCAGAGCAAAGTCTCCTTCCGTACTATCTCTCATGCTTGTTCTTCCAGATCTGCTCCTCTCGTGTGCCCCTCCTCGCAGGCCAGCATGTGTGGCAGAGGTTCACCATTTCCCTGTGTCTCTGTGGCTTGCTCAGCACCACTGGAGCTCTCCTCTAGGGCTACGCAGCCCTGCAGACAGGGCACTGCACTCTGGAACTGAAGGCCTCTAGACGGAGCTACCTCCTCCTTTCGCAAAATTCTTCTGTGGTTTCTGGCCTCTCTCATCCCACCGCTCACACCTCCTTGTGGTTTTAGGTGACCCTTTCCTCTTTTGTCCTGGAATACTTATCTGTTCTGCCAATGATAGCTGCCAATTTGGGCAGATAACAATGCAGACCATTTATTTTGTCACATCTCTCTCCTGAGCTCCAGGGTTCTGTTAATTTGGTGGGTCTTCTTACTTCAGTGTCCCACTGGCACCTCAGGTTCATCTTGTCTAAATCATTTCCCCATCATATCTATTTCTTCTTTTCTCGCTGTGGCACCCAGCATAAGATCTCACATCCATTTATTGCTCAATAAATAACTGGCACCTCAGGTTCATCTTGTCTAAATCATTTCCCCATCATATCTATTTCTTCTTTTCTTGCTGTGGCACCCAGCATAAGATCTCACATCCATTTATTGCTCAATAAATACACATTGCCTGACTGAATTCGCACTATTTTGCAGTCACCTGGTCTCAACATGTTGGTGGTCTGTGACTCTTGCTTCCACCCCCCGCATTCCATTCATGGCCTCAGGCTGCACAGAGTTTTCTTTCCCTGTTTGTCTTTTGGCCTCTTCCTCTCCCTCCGCACTCTGTCATCTTACTCGCCTTTGTTCGGCCATGCACAGACCCTCCTCTGCCCCAGGAGCTACTGGAACTTTGCAAAACAAGAAAATCAGAGAAGCCGATCTTTTATGGGGAAAAAATATAGCTAGTGCTAAATGAAAGTTGGGGGAGGTATAAAGTATTTGGACAAAGAAATAGTACTAAATTCCATTCAAGATTATATTTTTGTATAGGGGTGGTTGATTTCTGAAAGGAACTGAGTTATGACGTGTCACGTTAACCTCTGGAATGAAATATAGGAGGGTACTTGAAAAAGGTCATGGAAAAATAGAATTCAAAGATAATACAAATCTTTCCACGAACTTTTCTTTTCTTTTCTTTTCTTTTTTTTTGGCAGCTGTCCGGT